TGGCCTTTGTTTCTTCAGGTGTATTTGTTATCTTTCAAATGGGTCTCACATCTGTGAAACACTCAGAGGTTAATATCACATATCAATGACAGCGTAGAAAGGTTTTTATCTGTTTGTATTAATTTCTTTCTTCATAGATCTCAGTTGGGTACCATAGCATGGGTAAGAGACATTAACTTGGTTAGTCCTTTATTACCTTTAGTTATCCCTTTGGAATTGTTCTGCTTTCTGGGGATTTTATATGGAGTCTCATTGTATTTTTTTTAACCTTGATACATTTACAGGTGCTGGCTCAAGTTGCCTGATCCTAAAACAGGCTAAGGAGGCAGAGGATCAGTCATGTCCCTGCTGTACCTGCTGGTTCCCTGAGTCAGGCAGGCCCTGGGTCTGCCTCCTGGCTGTAGCCATGTCTGCCGCCTCTCCATCAACCATACCTTGCTGCTGGGGGAGGCCCTGGTGGGAAAAACTGCCTCCACCCCTAGCATAGCCTTTCTCAGGGGAGATATGTACCCTGTATAATCTTTGGGGATCCTTAACCACCCACAGTTTTTATCCTCTGAATGCCTTTTGTGACTTGTTCTTTGGGTTTTTAAGGCCTTCCAGGAATTCCTTATTACCGAATTTGATTTTCTATCAATTTTTTCTTTGGGAATTTGGGCTCGACATAAATCTTGCCACATTTGTATTTGAGTAACCCAAACAACCATTTCTTCTCTCTGGGCTTTTTTTAATATCTCTTGTAGATTGCTCTATTTTTCTACAGATAGGTTTTACACACTGGTCTGAGTCACATCAATATGCCAAAGCCTCCATTACTTTTCAAAGATATTGTCCCTTTAAAGGACTTAGCAAAACCATTAAAGCTCTATACCATTCTTGACGTCCCAGTTGAATTAAGTTTTCCTTCATAACTCTTGGGAACACAGCCCTATCTGGCCCAGCGAACTTGACATCATATATCTCCTTCCTTATACCTAGTTCTCTCAATAACGCCTGTCCCTATTCTATGGTCCTGCAGTCCCTGATAATCATGGCAGTCTCCATTGGTGATGACCACGTATCTTTAATGCCTTGCACAAGTCATTCCATTAGGGACAGCTTCCGCCTGTATTGGCCTAGGTTAAACAGCCTATGTCTCAAGGATGGATGGGTGGCTACATAACTCAGCTCTGATGCTTCTAAAAGACTTAAACTGATATTATTTACTCCCATGTCCAATACCCTCACAAGCCACTCAGTGAGGGGCTCTTTAATTGCTTCTTTGAGAGTCTTTCCTAATCCCAACAGCTCCAGTGCGGAGTATTTTCTCCTAGCTACAGTACTGTTAATTTTTTCTCTTTTTGCAACAAAGGCTAAATCTGAGGGGTCGCTTTAGTTGCCTTTATTTCTAGGTTGTTTCCTTTTTCATTACTATTTGTCTTTTTTCCTGGGTCCTTTGACTCCTGGTCCCCGAACCTGAAACAAGTTAAAATCTCCCGTTTCTTTGTCTCTCAAGCTCTGAGGCTGAGACTCAGTTTTCCAATAACTCTTTAGTCTTTTAGCCTCACCTGAGGCTGTTGCCTTTGCAGTGGACAAATATTTATGCAAAAAAGTGGCCAAGCCACCTCTCTGGATTCCCCTGTTGTGTCCAAGGCTTGTAAAGTATTTTCTAGGCTCTCCGTAATCCTTAAGGAATTTTCACACACAAGCAACTGAGCTATTTGCCCACATTCACAGGATGGCTGTGGTGTGGAATTTCCCCTTTTGAGCCTTATGCATCTGAGTGGTCTGAGTCAGTTTAGTTTCATATTTTATGATCCATTGTATAACCCATGTGACTGCTGCGAACACCATTAAGTGTTTGGGGGGAGGGGTGGCCGCCCTCTCCCCTGGGTTCCTGCCAGCTTCTCTCAGACACGTCACTTTACCTCACAGCATGCCTTGTGGCACCCATCTCCGCCCTTCTGGATTTGGGAATCTGAACCTGGCTCACTGGACACTGCTGAAACCTCAGTGCTTTCCAATGCCCACATCCCCATGTTTTTCCCAGATTCCTGCAGTTCGTCTACTCAGTTGCACTATGCCAGTTTGTCACACTAAATTTTCCCTTGCCCCTCCCTGGAGGACCCGAGCAAGCCCTGTGAGAACCTTTGGGTCTCCCAGTCCTGACGGGGATCGGCAAAACCAAAATAATACCTTCTATTTGGGGTTTGCATAGTTTATGGCATGCCGTCTTGCCCTGTGAGGTTCATGCCTGCGGACTCGCCCCTCGGGGGTCCATGCCCCTCGTTCACCATGTTCAATATGGCAGCTGTTCCACCACTTTTCCCAGTGTGTTCAGCATGGGTCTCTCAACCCACCGGCTGAACAACTGTAGCCTTTCGGAAGAACTTCTGGGTTATGCAGATGAAAGGAAATGATCCAGAGGGAGGTGCTGATGCTCGAGGCTTTAAGACATGTAATAGCTAGGAATAAAACAGTATCAGCAGCAGTGGTCAGCAACACAAGCAGCTCAAAGAAAAGCCTATCACCCATGACACAGAGGACACAGACCATCTACGCCGTGTACACAGGTCCAGATCACGTTGCCATTGAGTTTAGATGGGCTTACCTGTACCAAAATTACTATAAAATCATACACTGATATTTTGGTAATATGTGAAAGAAAAAGTAGTAAATATGTTGAAAATTCACCTTGCTATTACTGAAATAAGTGCTGAGAAGTGAAGGTTGCCATAGCCAGTCAGACTGACTAAACTGTTAGTGATACCAGGAGGGTACAATCCCATCTGGACCCAAGATGAGGATAATACTCTAACTTCTCCTCCAAAATCTTCAAGGAAAGTAGTCTGAGTTATAGCTGGTAATACCTGTAAGCTTAATTTCCACTTATTTTTATAGTAATTGGCTATTCTAGTTGGAAACCAATCCTGTAAGGCAAGAGATTCGTTTAGCGTAGAAAACACTACCGTAATCAAAAAACGTATCCTGTGACTCTTCAAGCCAGTGAGATTTTATATTGCAGTGAAGAAGCTCTTTTCTTATTCTCCTAATACTGGGATGGACTGAAATTGCAGCATAGAGGGACTTTGTTTGCCTAGAGTATGGGGGGAGGCCCTGTGTGTCATCCTCAGTCCTGCAAACTATAACACTGAAAGATCCCCTTAGGACAGGTTATCACCATGTCTCCTTAGGGGATTCTTGTGTTCCTGGCTACTGCTGCTGATGCCACTGTCCTCCTAGCTACTACTTGTGCAGGAAGCCTTGGGCATCAGCACCAACATGTCCTTGTCCTCCTCCTGGATCTTTTCCTTTTATCTTCTGTCACTGCTCTTCCCTGTGTGGATAGGATCTATACACTGTCCTTCTCATTTTGTCCTTCACTGCTCTTTTCACATCTAGAAGGCATGAATCACAAAGGGAAAGATCAGGGCAATGGGGCCGATAGTGTGTGGGAAGATGCAGGGAAAAGCTGCAGACTGAGAGAGGTGATGGACAGATCTCCCCCTCCTCTCTCCAGGGGAACGTTTACTTCCTTTTATGAAAGATTAACATCACTAAAGCACTAGTCCCATCGCAGTCAAGGCCCTTGCTGATCTTTCTCAACATGTAGATGGAGCAAGCAGGTAATGCCATGAGGCCCCACACAAAGAATACCTGTCACTTCTGCAGATATTCTTTATTTTAATTTTATTTATTACTTTTACTTTATGTATATGAGTGTATTAAGGGTGCTGAACACCACATCCTTTACTCCTCTCACTCATAGTGAGCACCAGCTCTGTGCCAAGGTAGATAATCCCCCAGAACAGAATGAAGCAAAGTCTGCATCCTAACATGTAATGTCCAGCTATGCAACTGCTTCTTGCCCATACTCAACAGTGATGCAGTCTTCCTATTAAGGAGAATGCGGAGGTCTCGAAATGTGCCCCCAATTTAATGTCACTTGCATTGGAAATGGGCCTTTTGTACAGGTTCACTTTAATGAAACAAATCAGTATCTCAACTGTGCTGTATATGAATTATTCCCTTGTTCTACATTTATTAATTCAGTCTGTTAGTTAATGCTTATTTAATATATTTGAAAACTTTATTTAGTTTACATTTCATTGTATGAATGCTTTGCCTGCACATATACATATAGATAGATAGATATAGACAGATAGATATGCATTCTAGATGCCATAAGAGGGCACTGGATGTCCTGAAACTGGAGTTAAAGAAGTTGGTTAGCTGCCATATCAGTGCTGGGCACGAAACCCGAATCTGTTGCAAGAGTATCCAGTGCTCTTAACTGCTGACTCATCTCACCAAGCCTGCATGTTTGTTTTTTAATAACTTGGTAGAACTGAACCCTCTTCTAACTCTGCTCATCCCTGTATTCATTTGACAAGGTCACCCTGGATTCCACACCAAATTCCCCTCTGAAGGACAGAGTTGTCATCTAATTTTGATATATGCCTGTATATATGAGAAATATGTACATATTTTTACTTGTATGTGCTATATAGACATACTTTTGCATAGAAAATAGGAAGAGCAGTTTGTTTTGGTTGCTTTGTCATTTAGGAAAGAAAGTTTCATCCAATAATAGAAAAAAAGTGCTGAAGTTTACTTTTCCCTTTGTATTCATTTTTATTTTATGTGTATGAGTGTTATGCCTTCATGGGTGTAAGTGCACCCACGTTACAAAGTCCCCGAGGAGGACAGAAGAGGGCATAGGATTCCCTTGTAACTGGATTTATGGTAAGTTGTTAGCCACTTTGTGGATTCAGGGATTCCAACCCTGGGCTTCTGCAAGAACAACCAGTGCTCTTAACTGCTGAGCCATCTCTCCAGCCCTGAGTTGACATTCTCCAATTTCCACCACCAAATATTTCATAGCTCAAAAGCTGTTTATCAGCTTAAAGTAGACAAGAAAAAACACAGCAAGTTCATAATGTCTAGGGTCAGATTGTCCATGTCCTGAAGCACGTTTGACACCCAGTGCCCTGCTACACTCCTTAAACAGACTCACTGACCTTCACAGCATGTTCTTGCAATCTCATGCACCGTGCCAGCTCCCTTCTGTGGAGAGAAAATGACCGAAATATAATATTTAATATTATCACTGAAATTAATTAAGATTTGTATGTTCTTTGCATGTTTATTTGCGTGCTATATCCCTTCACAGCTTCCCAAGTACACTTTTTGATAATTCTTAGAAAGATTGTTGTTTACATGTGGTTTTATCTTCTCACAAAGTTAAAGAAGGTTTAAGAGCACCATAGTCTGGAAAAACTGGGTAATGCACTCATTAACAAATAACAACTACATCATACAACGTACACATGTTTTGTGATAAACGGGATTACACATTTGCCTTCAGACAAGCCAGGCAAGTGCCCTACCACTGTGCTGTATACCCAGCCCTTTCTTTCCTATTCTTTGTTGACACGGTGTCTCATTAAGTTGTTCAACTGGAACTTGAACTTGTTCTACAGCCCAGGGAGACCTGGAACTTGCACACTCCTGCTGTGATTCTTCTGAATCTGAGATTATAGTGCCACGCCATTAGTCTCATCTAGCAATGCAAATATCCTACAGCAATGTTATATCACTGCAGAGGTATTAAAGCACTTCATTCTTCAGAGCAGGTTGTCGATAAAGTTTTAGGCATAAAAGCAGAGCCCCAGTACTAACAATAAGTATAAAATACCTACAATTGGAAATTACCAACCCTAGAAACTTCTATGTATAAAAAAAATAATCCTGCAGGAACCAAGAATATGGAAAGGAAACAGGGAGGTAAAGGGAAGGAAGGAAACAGAAGAATAATAGGATAAAGCTGTTACTAAGGGAGAAATATGTAAAAAGGGGGCAGTAAAAGAGGAATAGGGAAGGAGGGATATACAAAGAACTATGAGAATATAGGGGAAAATCCTCCAGATACGTAATATAAAAAAAGACCCTTACGAACAAAAGGAACCCTACAGGGATGGAAGAAAGCCCTTCCAGAAGCAATATGGTTGTTAAATGAAAATCCTAGTGCCAGAGGTGGGTAGGCCCCCTATGAGCTGTTGGCCGGAGAGCCTCTGGAGGGCCCCAAAACAGTAAATGTCATTGTCAAAGATGTTGGCTGTATACTGAAGGTGGACAGAAGGCCCCTATTGCTGAAGACGCTGCTTGATGTGAGTGCAGGGGAGGGAGAAAATCAAGCTCTGACTAAGCTGGAAACCCCCTGACACCGGATGGGTGGCATTCATGATGCCCAAAGGCAATACGCGGAAGACTTGTGGAGAATCGTCCGCGATAATTCTGCTCAACAATGGACCCGACGTGTTGCACTCTGAACATACCAAACAAGATGTTCCTGCTGGTGCAATAGTGGATCTTCTAGTGTATGTGCAACCAGCAAATTTTTGATTGGATAAAATGCCCACTCCTAGGGGTGAAACACACATCTAGTACTGTAGACCAGACCAAACCCCTGGGGCAGGGGAGAACATAGGTCCCAGTGGGAAGCCACTGCAATTGTTTTGTTAGATGGATGTGATGCACCTGCTAAAGTACTGTCCAAGTATTTGTCTTTACACCCTTAGGTGAAGTTACTATAGCAGCCACTGTTTAGATGTTCTTGTTATTTGTGTTTTTATAGTGGATGGAATCCCACTGAAATGGGCCAACCATCAATGGAAAACTGACAATGCAGAGACCCAAAATTTCAGTGCCTTGCCACAATAGGAAGAAGATAATCCCACACCTACCATGCCCTCCAAAGCTTGGGTACTTTTGTGGAAGAGGATGGCTGAAAGAAGAGCCCAAGGAAGGAGTGAAGTGTTAACTGGAAGTGTACTCAAACTTCTTTGCTGGCACCTATAGTCACACCTCCTTCCCATGTTCATCAAGGAATCGAGGGGGAAGTCAGTTACCCCTTCCACCCACCCAATTATTCAACCTTATCTGCATGTGGGGCAGTGGCTAAGGATATATAAGCCTAGAATGCTAGAAGGCACATCTCTCACCATTTTCCTCAGCTGTCGGGAAGTCACAGGATCTATACTTGACTGCGGGTTTTCCAGTGCAGCCATAAATGGGGTGCGTCCACTCCTCTGTAAATAAAGCCCCACCCTATGCTCTCTTTAAATAAAAAGAAAATGATAGACGTTTGGATAGATAGATGAGAGGGATCTGAGCAAACCTCAAGTGGATGTACTTGCACTGAGAACTATCTGGGGACACTGACTTAACACAGTGGGCCTTAATACCCAGGAGAGAGTATATGGGTTCCATTGGCAGGGGGCTATGAGAGGATGCTGGTGGGGACGGGGCAATAAAGATGATTCGTGTTGTTTGAGATATTCTGTATGAAATACAACAAAATTTAATAAAAACAAATTTTAAGAAAAGAAAATAATCAAGATAAAATCCAACAATACAACCCGACAAAGTATTTTAAAATCAGTACCTCACCCAAAACAGACCCAGATTTTAAAACAGCCAAAAGACTTAAAGAGAGGAGCAGACAAGGTGGCTAGCAGGTAAAGGCCCCTGCCACCAAGTCTGACTTCCTGAGTTTGAATACTGGAACCCAGAAGGAGGAAGGAAAGAACCAACTTGCCTAAGTTGACCTCTGACCTTCAGATGCACAGTTTGGCACGTGCATAGCATGCCTGAGCCCACAATAAAAATAAATAAATAATAAATAAATAAATAAATAAATAATAAATTGCGACATTTGACCAAGATAGGTAATGATGGTCATAAGCACAAGAAAAGATGCTCAAAGTAACAGTAAGTAAAGAAATGTAAATGAAAACCACAGAGATTTTACTACACATCCAGAAGGGTGGTATTAACACCCAGAAAATAACAAGTCTAAGTGAGGCCTTGGGCAAAATAGAATAGCATGCTCTGTGGGATGTAATATCAATTTCTACAGCTATTGAGGAACACAGTAAGGTGGTTCTTCCAAATACTGAACAACGAACTATCATCAAAACCATCTATTTCATTTCTGGAGACATGTCCTAAGAGACTGAAAACATGAGTTTGGAGATCGATTTGCCAGGCTGGTGAGATGACTCAGCAGATAAAGATGTTTGATTCCAGGCCTGACTACTTGAATTTCATCCCCAGGACCCATATGGTGGAAGGAGAAAACACGATTCCCCATAAGTTGTTCTCTGACCCCCATACATGCTTCACACAAATATATGCACACACATGAACACACAGGCACACAAAATAAATAAACCAAAATAAAATAAAAATCTGTCTACGCTTGTATCATGGTCCTATGATTGTCCTGTCTATTTGGCGCTGACCTGCTGCCTGGAGGGCTTGCCTCAACACCTCGCATTTCTGCTCCGAATCCCAGGAGGGATAGAGCCCACCCTTGAGCTGGAGGCTGGCCCTGTGCCGACTTCTCATGTACCTGTTAATGTATCTGAGTGTTTCACTGCATGTAAGTACAGCTGTATGATGCAATAACATGAAGGCCAGCAGAGCAAGGCCCGAGATCTCCCGGAATAGGAGTTACCAGTGGTTGTTAGCCAAAAGGAAGGTGCTGGGAGCTGAACTCTAGGCCTCTGAAACAGCAGCCAATGCATTCTACAGTGGTCTCAGGGAAGACTCAGGGGACAGTGCCCTGGAGGAGGACGTTATGGAAGATGAGGAGGATTGGGAGCCACCCAATGAGCTGGAGTCTGGGAGTGTGGAGATTCCCAGGTTCTCCAAGGAAGAGCCCCAAGAACTGAGCCCCCCCATTCCCCGGGGTGAACTGGCTATTGAGGTGTTAGAGCTAGCAGACAAGGAGGATGTCATGTGTCCTGTGGAGATAGAGCTGGAAAAGCTGGTGTACACATTCAAGGAGCTCCAGATCAAGCATCCTGTGACTGAGGCTGAGATCCAGCAGCTGAAGTGGAAGCTGCAGAAGGTGGAGTAGGAGAAGGGGCCCTGGCTAGCCGAGAAGGCCCAGCTGGCACAGAGTCTGGAGGAGAACAAGGAGCACATGGAAAAGGTGGAGGGCTCCCTGGGTGAAGGCCCAGAGCCTGTGCCAGGCTGTGAACAGCACCTTTGGGAGACTCAGGCTCAGTACCAGGCCATGGAATACAAGTACAACAACGCCAGGTATCTCATCAAGGACTATCAGCAGAAGGAAACTGAGTTCCTGAAATAGGAGACTGGTCAGCGTAGGGTTCAGGAGGAGTAAGAACTGGCTAGGAAGGAAGAAATGGACAAGATCCAGGACAAGATCTCAGAACTAGAAGGAAACCTGCAAACACTGATGAATTCCAATTCGACTTAACAAGATCACACCTTGACCAGAAAATAATAATCCCCTCCAGTTATCCTCAACCTCCTGTCCTCAATACAACACCCTACCCCTCTCAGCCTTGGGACAGGTGTACTGAAACTACCCACTCCTCCACCCCCTCCCTCCCCCAGCTTCAGGTACCAGAGGGCCCATATCACAGGCCTCTTAAGGTGGCCCATGCAGACAGTGGTGGCTGGAAGGGTGGCCGCCTCACCCCATGGGGCCGAGGCACAGAGGTCTAGGGAAGCTGAGAACTGGCCTGGGTGTGGATGAGCACAGGTTGCAGTCAAAACTGCCAGACTTTACAACCTCGAGCCTTTGTCTCTGTACTGGAAAGGAGCTGGGGCTCTCCCAGCATCTCATCACCTGGAGGCTGCTCCTTGCTCGTGGGGCTCCACCAGCCCCTGGGCCTCTTGACTTGAGAAGCTACGTTCTTGGCCCTTTCCTCCTCCCTATCATTGTCTGGTCTATTTCGCGCTGACCTGCTGCTTAGAGGGCTAGCCTCAACACATCCCATTCCTGCTCCGAATCCCTGGAGGGATAGAGCCCACCCTTGATCTGGAGGCTTCCCTGAGCTGACTTCTCAGGTACCTGTTAATGTAGCTGAGTGTTTAACAGCATTAAGCACAGCTGTATGATGCAATAACCGTGAAGGCCAGCAGAGGGCGCGAGATCTTCCGGAATAGGAGTTACTGGTGGTTGTTAGCCACAAGGAGGGTGCTGGGAGCAGAACTCTAGGCCTCTGAAACAGCAGCCAATGCTTTCAACCTCTGAACTATCTCTCCCAACCCGATTTGCCCAGCCTGGACCTGCCGTGGGTGGCCCGGCCACACAGGCCCCTCCATACATGACCCTACAGCGGCTCTGTGTGGCCTTGTGAGCCCCTGCCAATCGATGCCCCATGAGTACCCTCCCAGCTAGGTCCTGCCCGACTGGCATGGCCATCTGGCCCCTTCACTGAGCACTACTATTCTGCCCCT